GGAGAAATACAAGGAGCGTGAATTTGCCAAGAAGTTCTTCCGCTCCGAGGGATCGCTGTTTCATCCAGTTGTCAACAGGTCATATGCAATGATGCACTGTTATGTACATGACACAAGATGTACATAAAGCAAAGCCATCCTGGGTAAAACTGTCTGTTGTTTAACCAAGTTATCGAGCTCAGACAGTTCATAAGTCAATTGCGGTGAGGTTATAAAACAGCTTGGAAATACTGAAACCTGATTCACGACATCTACCTCTATCACAGGAGCTTCGGAGCCTCAGCAAGATGGCATAGGCGTCCGATGTCCTAAGACTGCCTTCATCCATTGCCATGCATTTACGTCAAGACGTGAAGCCGGGTTGCTGAAAATGAGAGATGCATCGTGCAGGCTATTATTGTATTCAGATCGATTACTGCGTGACAAAAGCTTATCAGCGGTTTCTCCAGTGTTTACGGAAGAATTAGAACAAAGGTACATCGTGGAGATAATTGAAACCCAGCAAACATGTCTCGTTTGTGTTTAGCTGACAGTTCCAGGTAAAATAACCTGAAATGAAGATAGCTTCTAAGTTATTTCACTTCATTATTTTTTTAGACGATCTTTCTAGGGCGGAATCTCCTGCAATGCTCTTGGCGGGGCCTGAGCCCCACCAACATTTTTGGAGAAGCTCCACCCAAGGTTGTTGCATTGATTTTCCGGTCGGTGCTATCTTAAAAAGTCATCGAAATAAGCTGAGAGGTTTGCTTAATGAGGGATGGGGCTATGATAAGTCTTTGGATTGCCCCCCCCCCCCCCCCCCAGTGACAATTCCTCGTCCGAGGCCGTGGGTGACGTCAAATGCTGCATTTTTATCACATCGTACATTATGTCAATAACATAGCTTAGTCCTACATCTAAACAAAATCACAACTAGCCACTAGGACGACGAGCCAACCCATGCAAAACCCTAAAAATTTGACATGCTTGGCACCATTTGACCCTGAGGATGTTGATCTAGGGTCGTTATTGGTTTACAAAATATAGTTCTCTGTAGTACGCACCCACCCCGGAAGTTTCGTTACTTTACCTTCTGCTGTTTTCGATATAGTATGGGAGGAGGAGGGGAGAGTTTCGCTTCCCCCCCCCCCGCAGTTATTCAGAGCCCCTCTACCGCGTGTATTAAAGGAAATGTTACACGTTTGAAGGTACTGAGGCAAGCATCATGCATAATTAAATATCTCATACTTTTAATATACGTCTAACGGATTTGAAATAAAGGGAATAGAAATTGTGCTGTCACTGCTCTAGACAACATAATTTCTCTACGAAGTGAATATGCTTCTCCGTACGTCATTGATTAAATCATCACGCCCCGTTCAACGTTGATTGAGAGCCAATGGTATCGTGCCCACAAACGCCAGATATGAACGCCTGGACAGTTATATTTTTGCTGGTTTTGATCACCACACGGCCAATGGAATGACAGGATTTAAATGATGTTATTATAAAGTTATGGGTGCCTGAGTTACCTTTAAATGGTCCGCACAAAACACTATGGACTTCTTATCGGGCGTGTAGCCCAGAAACTGGACAAGTTAGGTCTTGAGAGAGGCAAGGCTGTGAGCTGCATTGAATGACCCTAGAGGTGGCTATTTCAGTTCAAAACCTCGTACAAACGTGAAACAATTATTGTAAGCAAAGCTGGCTGCTACGGCAGCGCAGCACGCCCAGTGCTTGCATGGTGTGGGTTTTGGGGTCACTGCAAAGTGTGACAACACAAAAACACTACAGCGACGTTTGCTGTGGTAGTAAGTACGGTTTCCTTAAAGCCTTTGGAATGTGTAGCAACATTCCAAGCACATTGGTTATTTGGAGAGCAGGATTTGAAAGTTTGGACAAAAGTCACTTTTATATCAGTGAGCAGATCGTGGGACAGGGAAATCCTTCAAATGAAGCTTTTGTATTGTTTATTTTACTGCTTTGGTGAACCCCCTTAGCTTCGACGCATGATTAGGTGTCGCGCCAAATCGGTAAGCGCTGTGACAACATGCACATCGTGTTCATATAGATGATAGGTTTTACGATTGCTTCTTGAAACAGATAAACTGAGCTCTTCAGGCAATCGAAACAGCCACCTCCCACCACGCACACGCTGATAAAGACAGCGTGGGAGGGAACGGGCTGTCGCCGACTAATTGACGTCAAGGTTGTAAGCGGTCCATCCAAGTTGTTGCAAAACAAAAACTGGCTTACAGATTACTTTTGTTTCCCATGACCCATATACCTTACTGGTAGTCAGTACATCATGCCTGGTTTACCTGGGGCATCCCGGCAACCAGAGGTCGGATCGGTCAGGAAATCCTAATGGTGGCGTTGAACGCATCTGGAAACAATGCAACCAGAGGTCGGATCGGTCAGGAAATCCTAATGGTGGCGTTGAATGCATCTGGAAACAGTGCCGTCCAAAATCGTCCCCAGAGCGCCACTGCTCTGCGCATCATCATCATTTAATCATCATCATCATCATCATTTAAAAGAATCACTCCCGTCTTTTAGCGAAGCAAGTTCGCAAACAGTTGTTCAGTACTACCTGAGCAGGTCGACCCGTCACGCTTTGGTCACCAGGCGGCGCCACGATCGCACCAAACGATAGCGGTCGACGCGTAATAAAACAACTCTCCATGGTGCACCGTTTCTGAAGCCACGCGCCCTTCTTAATACGTTTTCTCGTTTCAATGTTAAACTAATGTCAATGGCAGGCATTCACGTATTGCGTTCACCTTGTTATGATCCTCGAATGGTGACTTTTGAGCGTTTTGAGGGGACCTCTTGATGGACTGGCCGTGAGATGAGCGTAGACTGAGCGTGGGTTGTCTTGACAGACACGGTCATATCGGCCAACGCGGCTGGCTCACCGGACTCGTGCAATTTCAGCCACGAAACCAATTCCCCTCGGTAAGGCCAGTTTTTGTATTCAGAAACCAATTGTTCCAGCCGGAGTCGGCATATGTCAGCATGGAGCCCATTGGGGCTTGATGGACCCTCATTTGTAAATGATGTGCGGTCCTCAGAGCTAGGCAAAAAACATTGGCCGCCTCAGAACGCTTGGGTACCGCCCTGATATTTCAGGGCACCGCTCTGACATCTCGGGGTACCACTGACATCTCAGGGTATCGTCCTGATATCTCAGGTTACCACCCTGATATCTCAGCGTACCACCCTGTGGACAGGCACCACCGGAGAAGTGATACAGCAATGATGACGTTCTTCTCTCAGCGTCTAATAGTGGTCGGCTGGGCGCAGTTATCCCGCGCACATCAATCATTCGCGCCCGTCATCAAATCGCCATTTACGGATGCTACAGTATATTTCTACGGCCGGGTGTTACGGTATTGCATAGTTCCCTCTGTAGCAAGTCAAAGCCATGCGCACTGTTTGCGCACCATGCCTTGTCATATTCAGTCCAAAGTGCACCACCACAGCATACCTTACGATATGTTTTGTGCATTGATAGCGTGAAGATGCAAAATGGTCTAAAATGGACCACAGACGTGGTGCATGTGCTGATGCTGCTGAATGTTGAACAGCAGACATCGGCTTCACTCGGTTGGTGCCTAAAAACTTACCTTGAGTTTTTAAGCGTTGCGCAATATTGTCAAGTATCATGAAGTATCATCAGTATTAGACTTCGAGTATGAAGTATTACAAGGTGCAGGTTTCTGAAGAAGCGTATTCGATCTGAACTTTCACAGTCTGCTGGCATAACAGGCATTGTATATATTTTCGAAAAATAACGACTTTTAAAGGACCCATTTAACCGTCTCCAGCTCCTTAGGAATACGGAAAATTGGCATACAGATTTGACACGATAAACAGATAACGTACTTCGTGGATACCATCACCGCATTTTGTTACGCCCGCCGCAAGCGAGAGTTAGCATCAAGTTCGTCATCATAGTCATATTTCTCTTCATAGCCTCATCCTCCGCCATCGTCAGTTTACGCCAGCAGCGCCTTCAGCTCCTCGGCCTTCTTGGGAGTGTTGTGCTTGAGAAGGGCGTCACGAATGCGGGCTCCAAAGTCCTCGCACACCATGCTCCAGTTCTTCACGATGCGAGCCTGAAGAGATATAAATAGTTAGGTTGCTCGCATAAACGTGTAAGGAGGCCATGACCTGATCACAGTGAGAGTAAAAGTGCAGCTGCTGTTCTGACGTGAACATCTCGTGGCAGCATGCCCAAAAAATAGATGTGCAGCCGAACGAATCGAGTGTCCCGTGCTACATGCACAGACAGCCAAATTGGCTTTCCAACCGGCCGATATCAAAACACACAACACTGAAATTTATACAGGCAAGAAGGCGTCGCTCCTTAGCTTGCCGACGAGGCACGCCTCCGGCCGTACCTGGATGAAGGGCTGCGTGTCACTGGCGTGGCCACCGATGTTGTCGGCCAGGCGCTGGCGCTCCTCCTCCTTCAGCGTCTTCTCCCAGAAGGCACGCACCTGGGACGTGTCGTTGTCGAACTCGTCGTACCTGTTCGCCTCACCCTCAACCACCAGCTTGCTCTCGGCCTGCTTTGCCTTCGGGCACTCCTGCGGCCCGCTGCGGACGAGGGGCGAAGGGGGGTCAGTTGTTGGTACCCCTGCTGCCAGCTGCTGACGGAGGGAGGGTCAGTTGTTGGTGCCCCTGATGCCAGCTGCAGAAGGGGGAAGGGTCAGTTGTTGGTACCCCTGCTGCCAGCTACGGACGGAGGGAGGGTCAGTTTTTGGTACTCCTGCTGCCAGCTGCGGACGGGGAAGGGTCAGTTGTTGGTACCCCTGCTGCCAGCTCCGGACAGGGAAGGGTCAGTTGTTGGTATCCCTGTGGCCAGCTACGGACGGAGGGAGGGTCAGTTGTTGGTACCCCTGCTGCCAACTGCAGACGGAGGGAGGGCCAGATGTGCGGAAAAAGGATGAGGGGCGCACTGTGACGCCTCCGCGGCCCGTGTATCACACTCTGGTCGCGTAGAGCTGCGGCAGCCACAGAAACAGCAACATCGATATAGAAGCCGACTGAAAGCGGAGCGTGATCAGACCCAAGACGGGTCCAGATACGACGAGTGGGTCGATCGGCACATTTGGGAATGCGCTCTATGTTATGCGGGTGGGTAATCCACCATCAGTACTGAGGTAGACGACTTGATGCCGATGACCTAGTCCTTAGGACTACATAAGTCCCTCCTGAATGTAGAACAGTATATGATTGAAGTTAAACATGGCCTCGGAACAGGTCGGGTTCTAACCCTGCTTTTTATGAATTTTGTCATGTCCCAAATCAAAAGTCCACCTTTTGTTTCAATCATACTAATGTTTGGTCACGCGTCAGATCGTCCCTACACCTCACTCTTAGTTCCCCCTACGTGGATGTTGGATCAATCGCACACACTGAGCCGGACGAACTTGGTGGCAGTAGTTTGGCGTGCAGCGCCACTGCAAGTCCGTCAAAGACGCACATCAAAATACGACTGGAGTTAGAAAGCTCCCGAAAAAATATAAGTCTTCCGGCCTGTATATTATGCGGCATACCTAACCACGTGCCAAAATAAGCGCCCGCGTCACATTACATGACCTACTCGAGCAGACCACTAGCCCAGCCCGTCTGACGTGTTCTCTGCGATTCAACCTTGAAGCAGGCCGAGTTCAGAAATGCTGTCTATTTGTAAACAGCGGCACTCAACAGTGTTCCAAGCAAACTAAAACAGCCATGTTCGACGTCGGCACCGCAAACATGCAACGTGCTGGCGGATACGACGGTTTGGTCCTTTTTCGTGGCCAATGTTATTTACACGTTGCGATGCAAAAATAATGTGTAAAACGTGACTCCACACATCGTGCAAGCCTCAAATTCTTCATAACATAATGCGCGTCGTTAAATCACCGTAACTGAATGAATGCATTCCTCTTAACTGAGGTCGTGTGACCCCAGGTCAATACTGCATGCTTTTGGCACTCGGCATTACCTGCATTGCGAGCCTTGTCCGCGGTAGCGACAAAAAGCTTATGTGAATTTTTAAATAAGGTTACACATAACTGCACACATCTAGAAAAGCAAAGCAGTAGCCTGCAGCAAGCGGTACACGGAAAACCCTAAATGTATTTAGCCAAACGTCTTCCTGCCGAATGCATTTAGCCCAATGCTGGCATGTCCACGCGTCTTTCTGCCGCCGCGTTTGGTAGGCAAGACAGCAAAAGTCCAACAATTTGCTGATATGCCTTTTTGCCCGTACTTGCCAAAATGTTGCAATCTTATGCGTATTTGCTGAAATGCTCTCTGGCCAGATGTCAATTGCTGAATGTTTTTTTTGGTCGAATTAGTGTGCGTCGAAATGTAGGCCTACCTATATGTTGGCCCATTTCTACGTGGCTTCATAAAAGTCGTTTTACCACAGCATTCTGCTCATTCCCAGCATGCCCTAGTAATGTGTTCACCTGAATTGTCAATAGTTGACCAGCCTAGGCACAAGTGAACACTGGTATGCTGCTTACGTCTACCGCCATCGACTACTTTGTCGTAACGTGTCGCCATCTGAAGTAAGGGCCAAACAGCGAGTCTCATCTCATCAGACAATCTGTTGGTCTCATCAGACAGTTGTTTGGCGTAAGTTGGTAGAGCTTAAGTAGAGGCACAGTGCATCCCCAATAAAGTTGTTGGTTTCAGTAGAGCACGTGTACGCCGCTACCGTCGGGCCTAGCATCGCAGGACTCACCTGAAGCTGTTGGGGAAGTAGTTGGGGGCGCCCGCCTGGTTGTCGGTGGTGCACATGGGCCCGTCGCGCTGGTAGTTGTGCACGCGCGTCTTGAACGGGCAGTTGACCGGAATTTGCAGGTAGTTGGGCCCCAGCCGGTGCCGGTGCGTGTCCGGGTATGAAAAGAGGCGACCCTGCCGACGGGGCCGAAGGTCAGTCCCCGATGCTGTCGCACAAAGCGTTCTGTGATCATTGTCCACACCGCTCTCGCGATAACTGTTGGTCGCTGCATATTACTAAATTTCTACATCTGTACTATCCACTGCGACCAGTGCCACCCTCTGACGCTTTGCGATAATACCGTCAGTAGACAAGCGCCTGGATCTCAGGAAAATCCCAGATCACGAACAATTTGTCCCAAAGATTTTCCTACGATATGGACACATGCTACAATTTCCCAAGGTGTCAAGGGGTAGGACTAGGATTGTTTTGACAAAATTACGTAGTAGATTCAAAATCCCGGATTGTCAGGTGCCATTGAGACGAGTGGCATGTCGGGGCAAAGGTGTGGCAAAAATTACAAGCTTCTCAGCATTTACTCTTCGGGCCTGGGCTTTGATCATTAGGCGTTTTATCCTGCCTCGGCAAGGCTGAAGCTTATTTCAGGGAGTTGTCCGAGTTGTCAAAAAAGTCCGACAACAGATAAAGCATTCAGTACTCCACAAGAACCCAAAGCAAACTTACCAAAAAAACAACAACATCCCAAATCACGAGGTTTTGAGGTCAAACATGAAAATAAGCGCTTAATCTCTGAATGTATTCCGACAAAATTACAAAATGGATGCTGGATGTCCAGAATCGAGATCACAGAGGCCACATGCCGATGTAACATTTGGGATCGAGGCACATTACTGTCTGTTGAGCGGATAACGTTTGTATCTCACCAGTAGACTTTATGGCGTCTGCGCACCATGCCGTTCCGACTTTAGACCTACCTGTAGCATCTTGTCCGGGCTGGACTCGATGCCTGGCGGCGTGTTCCGACGTTGGACCTACCTGGAGCTTCTTGTCCGGGCTGGCCTCGATGCCCGGCGACATGTTCCGACGTTGGACCTACCTGCAGCATCTTGTTCGGGCTGGCCTCGATGCCCGGCGGCATGTTCCGACGTTGGACCTACCTGCAGCATCTTGTCCGGGCTGGCCTCGATGCCCGGCGGCATGTTGGCCGGCGAGAAGGCCAGCTGCTCCACCTCGGCGAAGTAGTTCTTGGGATTCTTGTTAAGCACCATCTTGCCGACCGGGATCAGCGGGAACTCGGAGTGCGGCCAGATCTTGGTCAGGTCGAATGGGTTGAAGCCGCAGTTATTGACCTTATCCTGGCTCATGACCTGGATGGAGAGCGTCCAGGACGGGAAGTTGCCCTCCTCGATGGCGTTGTAGAGGTCGCGGATCGAGTAGTCCGGGTCAGAGCCGGACAGCGCCCCAGCCTTTTCCACCGGCAGGTTCTTGATGCCCTGATCTGTCTGTGAACGAGAGGAGTGTAATCAAAGACAAACAAAGCCACAGCCTCACGGCCACATAAAAGAACTTTGTCTTATGGCCAAAACTACCATCGCCGTGATAAAAACATAAGACAAAGTTTCATAGACGCAGTACCCTCGGTACGGACAGACACATTCACAACCTCCCGGTCATAGACAAGAAACTTTGCCTTGTGTTTATCAGCGACCGAAAGGAAATATTTACTCAAGTACGGCAGCGTCACGCGCCGTACTGCAGCGTGGCTGGCTATTGACCGCGGTCGGCAGCCGTGCCAGCTTAAGGCCGTACCTTGTAATGGAACTTGACCCAGTGCTCGATGCCGTCCTTGTTGACCAGCTTGAAGGCGTGCGAGCCGTAGCCGTTCATGTGGCGGTGGCCGTCGGGGATGCCGCGGTCCGAGAACAGGAACGACACCTGGTGCATCGTCTCGGGCCGGAGCGTGATAAAGTCCCAGAACATGTCCGGGTCCTGCGAGCAGCGGAGGGGTCCACGTTCGGTCAGCAGCGGGCCGCGCCTTCCGGAACCGGAGCCATGCAAGTGCCGCCCATGGGCTCAGTCAGTGTGTCGACGTGGCGTCGTCAGGGAACACGACCGAATGCATATCATTGCTTCTGGGACACAAAGCGACTGCGCTGACGGGGGAAAATGGCGTATGATTGACAACCTGACTGTCATTGAACTGTTCACTACTCTGGCCGTTCTTAAAGAACCGATGGCCTTTTGTGTCAGCGGGTCCGAAGGCAACAATCTGGCGACTTGAAGTGCAGGCACATTCGTCAATGCTGAAAACATGCAGCTTTTCATACAACAGCACCCAGAATGCAGCCTGTTAACAGGAGCACGCAGCACTTTACTTTTCGAGATGTGGCTCCGCTCGTTGGACATCTGATATTCATAGAACTGCCCGATGGGGTAAATTTATAATGCCACGATATATAGGAAAACATCCTTAGATAGGAACAAGATCCCATGAAAACCGCTCCGCGGATCGAATAATCCGCTGAGGACAAGACGCAAACACTAGCAACGCATCCAGCCCACCAATCTCACCGCCGCCGCCCCCTCGCTCACCTTCAGGTGGGTGGCCGGGTTCCGCTTCTGCGTGTGGATGAAGCTGGGGAACATGATCGGGTCGTTGATGAAGAAGATCGGCGTGTTGTTACCGACCAGGTCCCAGTTGCCCTGCTCGGTGTAGATCTTAACGGCGAACCCGCGCGGGTCGCGCACCGTGTCGGCCGAGCCGCTCTCGCCGCCCACCGTCGAGAAGCGCACCGCCAGTGGTGTCTTCTTGCCCACCTCGCTGAAGACGTCCGCAGAGCTGTACTGCGTGATGTCGTGCGTGATTTCAAGGTAGCCGAACGCGCCTGCGGAAAAATCGTCTGCGTTGGAAAAGCGGACGCGACAGGGGCCTCTCGATCTATGTACTCTCGACAAAAGAGAAGGTGGACTGCATTGACAGTGAACATGCAGTTCGACCAACGGGTTCGGTCTTGCGAAGTCAGGGTTCACGGCCACAAATGTTGCCTCATTGATTGAACTAGCAAATACCACCAGACGCTCTGCAGCTTCACAGGTTCTAAACAGAGGCGTGCTCTGTTTACTGAACATATTCTCCGTGCAAATATTTATACCGCGGGGTGCCCGCATGGGAGTGCCGGCGAACGGCTCAGCCTCACCGGTGCAGCAGGACTCGAACGGAGCCACCAGAGCCACGGAGTCTGGGGCTCCAACCGCCGGGATTCAATGCATGGGGACCCTCGCTTGACACTTCGGGGTGAGTCGAGGGCCCAGAGTTAGAACCAGTGAACAGCATATTCGGCGCTGTTGGTTCCGCAAACCTAGCAAAGACTGGAGGACGGGGAGGAGGCAATGCCCTTTAACACCACAACAACAATGCCCCTGCCGGGTTCATAACCTATCTTTGCTATGGGATGTTCTCCTTCTGCTGCCTGGGGCGGCCCATAGCTATGAGTGATGCCCTCTTCTCCATCCTTCACCAGTCACGAGAAGCCCCTAGCCCTCCCATCCACTAATATCTATCTTTCTCACCGGCTCCCTTGGCGTGCACCACCCGCTCTGGGATACGCTCGCGGTCGAAGTGGGCCATCTCGTCGACGAAGGCGACATCCTGCAGCAGGAGCGGGCCGCGGCGACCCACGCTCACCGAGGCCGTCTTCTTGCCGATGGGCGTGCCGTGGGCGGTGGTCAGCACCTTCGGACCGCCCTCCTGCCGGCCACAGGTCAGTTCGGGTCAGTCCAGTCACCCTGGGCGGTGGTCAGCACCTTCGGACCGCCCTCCTGCCGGCCACAGGTCAGTTCGGGTCAGTCCAGTCACCCTGGGCGGTGGTCAGCACCTTCGGACCGCCTTCCTGCCGGCCACAGGTCAGTTCGGGTCAGTCCAGTCACCCTGGGCGGTGGTCAGCACCTTCGGACCGCCTTCCTGCCGGCCACAGGTCAGTTCGGGTCAGTCCAGCCACACTGGGCGGTGGTCAGCACCTTCGGACCGCCCTCCTGCCGGCCACAGGTCAGTTCGGGTCAGTCCAGTCACCCTGGGCGGTGGTCAGCACCTTCGGACCGCCTTCCTGCCGGCCACAGGTCAGCTCGGGTTAGTCCGGTCACACTGGACGGTGGTCAGCACCCTCGGACCGCCCTCCTGCCGGCCACAGGTCAGCTCGGGTTAGTCCAGCCACACTGGGATTGACAACTGCCGGTGTATATTGTCCGCTGGCATATTGCAGTTAGGCGAGGATCCTCCACGCCATTGAATCACGGAAATATCACCGCATCCCAGGTGATCGCCCGTCTCGAGTTGAGCCAGTTGACGAGGGGTTGCAAAACTCGCCTTGCCAGGTGAGTATATCAAAAATTGGTCTGACATAGTCCCGAAAACTTTTAATTGATGTAGCTATGCTAAAGCAATTTTCGGAATCGAGGTGAAAACACGACGTTCTTATGATCTCAGCAGTTAGAAACTAATCCAAATAGTGGGCTAGCATCATATAATACCTTTCTATCGATCATCAATCATGGAGTGAATAAGCTGTCATAAAATCAAGGATCAGGGACTACAGTTCAGATAGCAACGCTTCACTTGTACTACAATCTGTGGCCTGACACATTCATCAAACCTCAGCAAAAAATAACCAGCCAAATTAATCAAACAGGAATATAGCATGATCTGGGATTGACTGAAAAATGCAGGATGGCGCTGGACACCCAATACGTTTTACATTCTTGGAAATACCTGAACTACATCAAAGGTGACCACGATTCGGGCAACAAGATCTAAGTTGTAGGATAGGTTACTCCCAATAGCGTTCCTTTCAACCGATTTTGCTAGATGCCCCGGACTTGCTCCTCCCTACCCTACCTCTGGGCTACGAATTCTTGCCTTCCACACTAGCTTTGAAAACGATTTCCCACACCTGCCAGTTGGGCAGCATGAAAAAGTTTTGGGTTAAACGCGCTCATTTCTTCATCAGTGAGCGAACATATGCCAACTAGACTCCGTCGTTTGACAGTTGCTGCAGCCTGCCTCCCTGTGCGCTTCTCCATCGCCGTCCATCAGAAGCCGGCGCCCGCCGCGGCCGGTTCGCCTCTAATCCGCCGCCAGCCTGTGCCGCCGCGTGGCCCGCTGGTGACTCAGTCGGGAAGACCGGCCACACCGACCGCACCACCTCCACACCGGCGGACGCCAGACAGGTCACCGGACGGCGACTGGCGCCGCCTGGCCGCCGCTCCGTCCTCAGACCATCGTGGCCTTGTCTGGTTGCTAGCTGAGGCCTTGTAGAACAATCACGGGAGAAAGCAAGAAAAGTGCTCGGCAGGACTTGCACAGGAGAAAATCTCATTCACCAAGCTGTGCTCTTACCTAGCGGTTCCGGACGACGGCTGGGTTTACTGCCATCCTCCCGTCTACATGCAAGGCATGCATTTGCATGACTCACGGGATATTGGCCTAATAGCCGTGTTTCAGGACAGAAAGAATCTGAAGAAATATTGAAATGCACCGAACTTTTATTGACCAGTGCTCAACTTGCCCGTTACATTAGCCGTCATCCACATCTTATATGCAGCACTTGTATATGTGTTTAATGACCACCTTGCCGTATGCGCTGTACTTTTGTGCACTGTTGTAGCTACAACCAATGCCTTAGGTAACTGGAGCTAAACTTTGAGTATGGTGGCAATGGCTTCCTTTCAAAGAAAGACCGGCTAGTCCGTTGTCGGCAGCTCCGGGTATGCCTCCACG